TATAAAAATGGAAAACCGGAGGTGTCCAGTAAAACCAGTTTTGGAAACCGAGACCAAGGTTCAAGAAACAGCCTTAATATGAAACCCACGAACTTGCATTCAAGAAAGTACAAAACCAGGAGTCCCAACCAACATGCAACAACAGATTCCAACTTGGTTTAGTGTTCTACATTGTCGCGACCTAAAATTTCTCAGGCTAATGAATTATTAAGTCTAAGCTTAACTCGGGCCCTCCCAAGCCCTACCAATTCGCAACTTAGGGTTTAAGTTTTTAACATGCAAAAATTTTCATGCTTGGAGTCACCACTAATCTATTTGTGATAGGTCGATTAGAAACCTAAATAAAACATAGGGAGATATGCTCGGGGACTTGGTTACGCTAAATCTAGTCTAACGCCCTTTCGGTACCTTTTCTTGTCAAAAATATTTATACAGGCAGTCTGAATCCATTTTATTACCTAATTACTAACATGTGAGGTATTCATGCGGGTGCGCAAACCATCAATTTAACACCTAAGAAAGCAATAAATAAATTGCAAGATTAGGAGAATGACGTATTTAGAGTAACGCAAGCATCTGCATTGTTAGTAGAAAATCACACAGACAATCCTAATATGATTTCTAATTAACAAAACAAGGCATTCGTGGTGTTCTTTAGGGTTTGCACTTTATTAAAATGCAAACTAACCTATATGCAATGACGTGCAAAAATGACATGCGATTAATGCAACCTAGCATGCGAACTATATGCCATGTGACGACGTGACCTAATTCTAATGACAGACAAATGATTTATTTTTTGTATTTTTCCAATGAAATTCGAAATAAAAAAAATGTCTAAATTAACATGCAATCTATTTTAATCTGTCCTAAAGTGACTCATTTTTTTTGGGATTTTCATGGAAATTCGGAATCTAAAAATAACCTAAATAATCTATTAGGATTAGAATAACACCTAATTTAAACTAGGAAATAAATTATCTCAAGTCCTAATTTAAATTAAATAATTATCCTATCTTCTAGATACATTTAGGGTTTCCTAAACATGCAAAACTTCTAATTTAAATCTAACTAACAAATTTTTGGATTTTCTTTATTTAAAAGGAAAACAATCAAACAAAGATAACAATCACATTCAAACAATCCACGCAATCCGCAAGATTCTTCAAATTCAGATGAGGCAAAGAAATCAAACTAATAGTCATATCTATAGGGTTATAGATATCGATAGAAAGTTGATTGTTTAAATTTGGAAAATAAATAAAATCTATTATCGTATACAAGTGATAATGGACAAGATAACGATTTTCCGTATCGCCGCGTATCGTACCTTAGGGATAAGGTAGGATAGTTGTCCAGATACGTTGCCAATTTTGGGTGTTTTCGAATATTGCGGATACCACAAAATTATCATAGGGTATCTAGTCAATGACGTAATATTCACGGAATATTCAAAATATTCAAACTAAGAATTTAAATATTTTGAAAATATACCGGATAGAGATTTTTACTTGATTTGTGGATTTCTTTCCAAATTTGAATTTGCGGCGGATCGGGATCGCGGATCTGGACGGTGGCGGCGACGGCAACTGCGGGCGTGACGGCGATCGGGAGTGGCTCGACTAGGCTCCGGGCTTACGATGGATCGCGAGTGGCGATACCGACGATTGATGGTTGACGCTCGATTGGAATCGCGGCTGGATGGTTCACGAACTTGCCAAAAAAATAAACCTGTAAAACAGAGATCGACTCGGGATCGATTGTGACCGGTGGCTCAAGGTACTGGACGGTGGAGGAGCGAGGACCGGCGGTGAACGATCACTGTGATAGCAAGGATGACGGCCTCCGAGCTTGGGGATCACGGGTGAGCCACCAAGTCAGTGTGCAAATCCCTTCGTGGGTCTATTTGTCCAAGCTTCCACTGAAGACTTTTTTTTTTTTTTGATAACCATAACTTCCACTGAAGACTTTGACCACCACTATACTCAAAAGAAATCAAAAGGTGGCGTCTTCTGCATGTGATGACGACGAAGCCATGGGACTCGTGGACAGCTGAGGATCTGCTGAAAACTTGCTGGCTTCGCTTCGAGACTGTGAGAGCATCGTACTGAGGGAGAACGCGGCGTGAACAGCGGCAGCAGGGAGGCGGCGTTGGTGCAGTGGTAGGAGCAGCGGCGGGATCCTCAAGGCCACCCGTGCGGCCGTGAGGGAAACAGGCTCGGGCGGCCTGATGGAAGCGGCAGCCGGCAGGCGGCGTCGTCGTCGTCGCCGCCAGGAGAGGAAGACAGCAGCTCGGACCACCGAGATGCGGTGGCGGGGATGGTGTCTTCGAGGCAGCAGTGACACACGGCCACAGGTCTGGCCGTGAGCGGGTGCGACGTCGGTGGAGGGGCGGCGGCGAGGCAACACGGATGCGGCGGCGGGACAAGTCCACCCGTGATCCTCTGATCTCTCCCCCCCGTTCCTCTCTCTCGCTCTCGCTATTTCTCTTCTTGAAAATTGTCCGAACCCTCTTGTCTCAGATGAGTCTTCTTTTATAAGCAGGGACGACTTAGGCCTTCAGAATAAGGGAGTCGATATTCTTTCCTCTTAAAAATATAGTATAATTTTGTTCTTTCCCATTCTTCTTCCACCTATGGACGCGTGAAGCTCCTTGACGGTATACTCTTTCTTGTTTTGAGAAAGATATATTGCTCAAATAATATATGCCCGCACGTGAATATTTCTTTTCCAGTTGCTCTTCTTTTTTTACTATTTTCCATTGACCGACGAAATCTTGCTTGTTCCACAAATATCCGAAAAAAATAAAGCCTATGAAATCATGGACATCTTCGGCAAATCATGAAAGATATTTTTGCACACGTGCCTAACCAAAAACATATTGACCGAGAATTACGCACCAAAATTTGGGAAAGTTTAACATGCACACAAATAGAAATATAGGCTTTCCTACGAGATTTCTTGCATGTTATATATTCCACTCATGATCGCATCTCCCGAACCTCCATCAATATATTCTGGAAATTCTTCATAACCTTTCTAAGTGTAGCATCACACGTGCAAAAATTTCAGCCATGATAATGAACGGGTTTGGCAAAAATCTTTATCCATGGGCTCAATCCACAATTTAGCTCAAAACCTTTCAACTAAGTTCATTCCCCGCTGATCTAATGCAAATGCAACTATATGACCCTATTACTATAAATGCTCCTAAAATTTATATGCAGTCTAATTATTATTTTTGCTAGGTGTCGGGATCGACCCCTAATTTTTCTATGCAATATATACCTAACTGGATCGTCAAAATTTAGGTGTCAACGTACATTCGGAAAACTCCTTTCTAAAAGTTCAAACCATCATACTTGGGCAATATCCACTCATACCTCCTTTCTCGCAACATTCTAGCCACCCCATTGTCTAAACGCAGACCCAACTCAACATGCAAACACTAACATGGTTAGTATGAAGTGAGGGAGCACACTTGCCTTGCCGGTGAGTGCGGCGGTCACGGCGTGCGGTCTTGGCGGAGAGGAAAGGCACAGCACGACGGTTCCGGACTCTTGTGCAGTTACTGCTGGTGACGCGAGGGAACGGGGAGATGGAGTGGACGGCTACTGGTCAGACGGCGTCGGGCGGTGGGTGGCTAGCCATGGACTCGAGCGGCGGCAAAGCTCCGGCGGAGAGACAGGCGAGAGAGAGAGAGTGAGAGAGTGAGCCGGGAGAGAAATGAGAGGGAGAGGGAGTTGTCGGGGGGAAAAGAGAGGGAAAAAGAAAGAGTCAAGTGGCTGTTCATCTTCCCTGCATGCATGGGCGCCACCTCTCCTCCACCAAGTGGCAGAGGGAAAAAGGAGAAAAAGAGAAAAGAAGGGGAAAAGGGAGAGGAAGGGTTGGTGATGGTGGTGTTATCCGATGGTGAGAGAGGGAAAGAAATGGGGAAAAACGAGAGTAATGGCTTTGCAAGGAGACAGGTCGTGCGGATGACGCGACGTCGGAGTTAGTCAGTTCAGTGACAATTGATCGCAAGAATGAAAATTAAATTCACGATTCCAAAACAACGATATCAACATTAGTGCGGCATCCGAACTTCCAATTTCATTTTTCCTGATTTCCGTCGATAAGTGGTCTAATCCATTAGGGTACGTACATTTCTTTGGTCGTACAAAGTTTAGGATGTCACAATGGGTGTTGGGGTCCATGGCCTAGCCTAGACTCGTGCTCGAATGCCTTGAGCTCGGGGACCCGAGCACGAACATTGGGGTCCCGGGGTTTGGGTGTTGGAGAGTTGGACATGGGTGTTGGGATTTTGGGCCCGGCCTCGATAGACTTGGATGCGAGCAATCCAAGCACGGGTATCGGGGTCCCGGGATCGACTTCCATGGACCCGAGACAAGGCGTTGGGGACCTAAGCACGAGCATAGTGACTCGGGTGCCGAAGCCCTAGGCTGGACACTAGGGTCTCGAGCTTTACCTCTATGAACCCAGGCCTAAACTCCATGGACTTGAACACGGCGTCAATGGACTAAGCTTGGGCGCTGGGGACCCGAGCACAAGCATCGGGGTCTTGCGGATGGGTGTCGAGGTCTTGAGCCCGTGTTCTATGGAATCCTAGCCAAGGCACAGGCACAGGTATCCCGAGCTTGGGCGTCGGGGTCCTGAGGCTGGCCTTTATGAACCCTGGCCGAAGTGCCGGGGAATCAGGCATGGGCACTCGAGTCCTGGGCCCGGCCTCTTTGGACCTAGGCCTAATCTCGATGGATCTTGCCCCGCTGCCAAGGACCCGGGAACGGGCATTGGGATTATCATGCTCAAGCGTCGAGTTTTTTGTCCAAGCTCCGATATCTAGATTAAACTTTTGGAGAAGGAATTGGGCCCATTGCGCTTCACGCCGAGCCCAGACGCAAAACCGCCAACAGAACGAGAACTGTTGGCGCCAAAGCCCATAATTAAAAAATATAAATAGATATAAATATAAAAAACAAAATAAACTGTCGATTTGAACAGGTCACGTTCATTGCACTTGAAGTGAAGAAGAAGAAGAAGAAGCAGCGACCGATGACGAGCAACTTGGGGTGCGTGGTCGTGGCCGTAGACGGCGGCGACGAGAGCATGAGCGCCCTCCGGTGGGCCCTCGACAACCTCAAGCTCCGATCCCCCGCCGATTCCCCCTCCCCCTCCTCCTTCGTCGTCCTCCACGTCCAGTCGCCGCCCAACATCGTCGCCGGCCTCAACCCCGGCGCCATCCCCTTCGGCGGCCCCAGTTAGTGCTCCCCTCTCCTCGCGCTCGACTACTACTTCTCTTACTCCCTCTCCGCTTCCTTTTTGGTGCTGTTTTCAGTTTCGATCGGCTGATCTGTTGTAATCAGGTGATTTGGAGGTGCCTGCTTTCACGGCGGCGATCGAGGCGCATCAGAAGCGGATCACGCAGGCCATACTCGATCACGCCATGGAGATATGCTCCGATAAGAACGTTAGCAATCCCCGTCTCCGCTTCTTCGTCTTTGCATCGATCGCGCTGTTGTTTTGACTGCTGATTTCCTCCGTTAGGGAGCTCGATTACGTTTGTTCGCACATCGCACGGATTTAAGGCGTAGCTTGTGGCGTTTGAATTAGCAGTTTCAGTTTTCCGGGATTATGTCCTTAATCTACTCTAAATTAGTTCCTGCTAAGTTGAGGCATCTCTGGCAGTGCGCATTCCAGTCTTCCATGTCAATTGGTGGAAACACTTGTGCAGTGATTCTATGACCATGTCCGAAACTTATCCATGCATGGTTTGTGAGTGTTAGCATCGAATTTATGCTTGGTTAAGTGCTGCCGCAACCTTTGTGGACCTCTTGCTCTCTTGATTGGTCTTGCATCCGTTGTCGGAGGAATCGTTGGTTATGAATTTCTGCATATTGCTTTCGATGCAGGTGAACATCAAGACGGAGGTAGTGATTGGGGATCCAAAGGAAAAGATTTGTGAAGTTGTGGAGAACTTGAATGCGGACCTGCTAGTGATGGGATCCCGAGCTTTTGGCCCTATTAAAAGGTAGGTCCTTGACATCAGATGATCCTATGGTTGATTAATTTGCTGTTTTTTGTAAATTTGCGCGATTGGCACATCTAAGTCGCGTTTTCTCTACTTCACATGTTTTCAATTCATTTTGTTGGATGGAACTAGTAAGTTTTATCGTCCTTATTGAACCGCAATAACATCTTTTCCATGGACAAGTTTTGGACATGACCTCCTAGTAAGATAAAATGCACGGTTTTAGTACTACCATTTGAGTTTTGTCTTATATAAGATAGCACATTCTTATAATGGTTGGTAATGTCGTTAAGACATAAGTGAAATGTTAGATAAAATGTTTAATTGGAAAACTTTGCTGCTAGGAAACTGAACTCAGCAACAATGTACTTGTAGCGTATTTCTTAACATTTTGCCTCGTGACACCCTTGCACATGGAAGATAAGATGTGGATGTAAGCACATCGATGAAATAACTATGAATTATGTTAAAATCTCTGAAGCAAAAGTTTAAGTTGGAGAGATATTATATATATAACTCATACAAAGTCCATATACCAGTGGTAATAATATGAACACCCCTTCTCATGTGCAAATTGATTTAAGAATGGAACATGGAATTGATGAAAGGGGAACGAGACAAACATGAACCACACGTAAATGAGCATATGAAATATTAACAAGCCATGAAGAATTGAGACTTGACTAATACCTTCTGAGACGAACTGTTTTCCCAAAAACTTAAGTTATTAAAAAATAAATCAGCAGGTAATCCTGTATAAACTGATTGTACTTTGACAGGATGTTTTTGGGAAGCGTGAGCAACTACTGCACCAACCATGCGCAGTGCCCTGTTATCATAATCAAGGGAAAGGGCGATTGCTGACAGCTGAAATAGGTTTGCATATCAATTCTTGATGCTTCTCTTGATTGTCTAGTTTTTCTCTTTGTACTATTGTTGATGGGTTATTCTCCCCTTGGTGGGGAGCGGGTTTTTATAAATCCTCAATCTGTCTCTGTCATAACTCATTACTACAGTGCAGCTCAATAGCATCATATTATTGTTATTCATGGAAGCAGGGACTAGGTTTTTAATGGTCACTGGTTTGCGCACATCGTCTTCTTGGGTCTACTGTCTACTACGTAGTTCTTGTGACATGCAATTCAAGCAATACTTCCAACTCGTATTCAGCTTCTATCGTTAAATAATGCATTAAGTCATATGGAATTCAACCCTCATGCCGAATTCTTTTAATATAGTTTGATGGGCTATGCTTCTGTCTCTTTGAGCTTTTTCTGGACGTCTTATGTTAGGTCCCAGAAATGGAATAAAGCCTCAGACCGGAATCTTCCCCTTTGCATTTATTATATGAAAAAAAAAACAAGTTCTCTTTGGTCCCTTACTGCAACATCCCCGCCTAGAGCAGCTGATTGTGGACAATTACCGTTCTGAGAACTTGTTTTCATAAGGACTTGTTTTTTTTTTTCGTTTTTTGGTCGAATTTATAAGGACTTGTTGATTGGTTTAGTATATGCTTTCTTTGACTGTGCTTATTGAATTTATTATCCCAGTAATCGGCAAAAGGACATTATAAGTGCCATAAGTTGTGTACGGAGATCACTTTGGTGCCATAACTTTTTTTTGGATCGCTTTGGTGCCAAGTCGGAGGAAAGAGATCACTTTAGTGACTCCGGCCAAAATTCCGGCCAAAAAAAGAGCCACTTCAGATTTCCAGCGAGCCACGTCAGATTTCCGGTGAGCCATGTCAGCATCGGAAATTGATAAAAAAAGAGCCACGTCAGATTTCCGGCGGCCATGTCAGCATTGGCACTAAAGTGATCGTTTTTCAAAAAAGTTGACACCAACGTGATCCGAAAAAAAGTTATGGCACCAAAGTGATCTCCGTACACAACTTATGGCACTTCTAGTGTCCTTTTGCCCCCAGTAATCAGTATTTAGGATGGCGAATTGCTGACGCAATGCTGTGGAGAGGAAACTTATCAGTTGTGCATTGGTATATGATGTTGCTTTGTCCCTCTGCCCCGAGGATGTATCTAATTTTTCTATATTAGTAGCCCTGAATATGGCACTATCGGTGAAGCCATTGTGCATGGGTATATGATCTTGCTCTGTTCCTTTGCCCTGAGGATATGTCTAAATGTTATATGTCGGTAGCACTAAAGTTGGCACTTTCGGATGTTGATCGCTTGATGCATGAAGCACCTTTGTAAACCCGACACTATTCTAGGTATTGCACATATTGTTTTCGCGAATTTAGTACATGTTTGACATGTTAACGTATTCCACATCTTTTGTCTATAAAGTTTTTTCAATGACCCTTATATTTATGTGGCCTCCCTCCACCGGTTAGCTGAAGTTTTGGAGTTATACTTTATAACGTGATTTCAGAGCCAGAATCCACCACTGTATATTTTGTGTGCGCAATCCTGCTTGTACCTGTGAGGGGTGTTAAAATATTCCACATTTTCTTAAGTTTTTGGGTTGAACTTTCTAGCACCCAACTCTATGGTTCCATTCAATCATCTCTAACATCTAAGTTGAACTGTGCTGATTCTGACTTTTCAGTTGAATATGCAGCCTATGCATCAGGAAAAGTGCAATGCGTTTTGGAACATTAGAGGTGTTAACTTCACTTTCAAAAGGTCGCTTCTCCTAAATATTAGAGAATGTAGAGTGCTGCACAAGTCTGCTCGACAAAAGGCAGCAGCAAGTAGCGTACATAAACTTGTCTTTTGGTACAAGATAATTGTACTTGAAAAATAATAGAAAACTGAAGTTCATGTGCATGATGAACTTCCCTGGAAGCTGTTTGTTGAAGTCACTGGACTGAAGAATTTATACAGACATTCTTTAATTCAGGGGAGTCCTCATGATGGAAGAAGTACATGATTAAGCAATAAACCTAAGAAGTAGGGTTGGATAAAGATCTCTTCAAGAATGGGCAAGAATTCTTCCAGTACTTTTAAAACTGTTTCCAGTTCACTTGCCCCAAAAAAGTTTGATCAGCTTAAACCAAGGCAAATGACCCAATCCACTAGATTAAACTTCAATCTAGAGAATATAGAAATTGGAAAAGTATTCAGACAGTTATTTTGTGTGGAGAATGTGTGTAGGCTTATTGCTCCTAAAACATCATATACTTGCTCATATCATTTAGTATTTTCCAAAACGTTTTATTGTAAACATAATTATCATTTCAAAGGAATATATCTCTCTATCCTCGATATTCATCTTAGCTCGGGCCACTATTTGCATCTTTTAATGTTTAGTTATGCTTTTTTTTAAATTTCTTTATGCTTTCTGATTTGGTTGTTTTCTTTTTGTATTTTCTTCGTTGCTTTTTAGTAATGCGTTACTGTATGTTTTTTTCTTCCTCCCTTTTGGCAGCTGCACCCTTTTCATGCCTTGTGGCCACACAATGTAGGATCATGCTGTTGTTGTCGTAGCGTGCTTCATTGAAACTCTGGAGCTGTTGTCGTTTGGGTTCGCAGCAGGAGCCAATATGCCACAACACCAATCTTAACCATCAGAAGCTGTATATGATGATACGGAGGGTACTTGTCGCCTCCTCTTGCTGCTTCTGTACTTTATACTCTGATGTGTATGTTTGTGCGTGTGTACCTATCCCATTTATTCATTCCGTTTGCAGTGAAGCTTGGCCTGGATGTTCACTAAGAATAATGATGTGCAATCTGCTCCTCTTTAGCTGTGGTCTTTGTTTATATCTTTCTCCTCATTTCCCAATTGCTTTTGCTTTCACGAGCCACAATGAATGGTAAATGACCATCCGCTTAGGGTATGGTTGCATGATTAGGAAGTTACCTCTCACTTGCTGTATTGGGTGGCGAAGTTGCCGTTCATGGCAATGCCAAGGCATTATCCATTGCTCATGCCTCTTGCACTTGAAGCAAACCATATAGAGGTAAGATATATGCTGTTATGCACCGCGAGCAGTAACAAAATTTTGCTTCTGTGGCATGCCAGGAGAATTTCAGTAAAATTATGTTCTTGAAGGTACTTGAGCTGCCTTTTCATGCTTCAGTAACTGACAACCTGCCTTTGGAATCTGAATTATGCGCTTCCGCATTGAGACTCTCGTGAGTAAGGGTGGGGCCTCTCGTCTGAAATCATCGGGAAAGTTCAGGAGTGGGACGGTGCCGTTCATTTCATCTTTTGTCTTTTCACTTGATTCCATTGCATTCTTTTCTCTGTTGATACGTTACAATTTGTGTCCCTTCTTTAGAGAAGGAAACGGATCGAATAATTCCAAATTGCTTAAGATAGAGCTTGCGACGATACGAGCTTTGAAGCTTGACATGTTACTGCTGCCATATCATTATCAAAATTTCCTGCATTCACATATGCTGCTCGAAATCACGCAATTCGTCGCGTGCCCTTCCATTCCTTTTCATCTCCTGGGTGTTTGAATTTCTGCAATAGTAAAAAAGATCGAATTAAAAAGTTCTCACCATCCAATCTTTCACAGTAGTCTCGGTCATTTCTTTCGCTCGTACTCTCTCTCTCTCTCTCTCTCTCTCTCTCCCCTTTCTGAGTTCCAGCACTATATTTTCCTTTGTACATCTTTCTGAACTTTAATCCAGGTAAAAGAAAATTACGACAAAGCTACCATGTTTACTAGGGTTCTCAGAGGATGCTTATAAGGTTCCAAAACAAGTCGGGCAGTGTGAACGACGGATCAGGATCATGTCACAAGGACCGACGCATAATTTCGTGCTGATTTGCTGGAACTAAAGATCCAATCAGACTCCTCGAGGCATAAACATCAGGAGGATATGGCCAACATGTGGATCTAAACCCTATTGTTAATTCGGGATATATTCGCCTGGAATGATTTGATTCCGTGTCCTCCCAACAGTCCCCACCCCCAGAAAAAGATGTTGAAATCATTAAAAGATACAAATCTGCAGAAACACGTCTGAGTGGACCAGGCCCATCAGAAAGTCTCCGTGCACCCGTGAACGACCGCGTCCCTTCTAGCCCCGCGTCACGACAGAGTTCAACGCTGTTACGTCGTGCCTAAAAAAGTTGTTCACGTGAATCTCCATTTCTCTTTTTCTTCCCCCCTGTTCCACCGCGTTAAATCATCACGAGATTTCAAAATCTCACTCCCGTTCCCACACCCGGTAAGAATTGGTTTGGTCATTCGATATTGCAAGAGCTCGAGCTCCATTTCCAACGCATCTGTGTACTTAAGCTTAGGTGATGTCTCGCCAACTTGAGCTAAATAAGGCAAATAATTCGATGGTCGAGTTCAACATCAAACCGTAGAAGCTCTCCTTTAAATGTCCATAGATTTAGAACAGACGACATCTTGAATTGACACCAACAAAAATAGACAAAAAAAAAAAACGCTGGCCAGCATAATCCCTCATTAAATTAAAGTTTAGAGAGTGAGTTTTATTCTTTTCTTGACAAAATTTATTGTTTCTCTAAAGTCCCTATTCAACCACTCCAAGCTTATCCACAGTGGCATTTCTCCCAGATCTCTATTAGAAACCTCTATTCCATCTTTTTATTAGATACCTGCATTCTCTTTTGGATCATTATAGCTTCCCTGTTCTTGGACTCTTGCATCGGTGATCTCTTGCTCTCTTCGTACCCGAGCCTCGTTATTTTTTAAAGAGCCGAACACTATCCTTTTGCTGCAGCTCTACCTTCAACTTGGGCCACATTGTGTCCCTCACTGCCCTATCACCTTCGTCATTTGTCTCTTGTTGAACACAGCTAATACCCACGATGACCTCAAACTCCTCCAATTTGTCCTAACCTGGACTTACCCATCAATAATGTAGCAATTATTGGAGGGCCTTTTAGTAACTTGCTGGTCTTGAATGAAATTCACATATATATAGCTCTCATATATCTCATGCATGCAATGCAATTTGCCTTCTAGCCCAAGTTGCCCTTAGTCATGGACTTGACCATTTCTTCATTGCTCTTCTTTGCTCTTCTCACCTCAAGTGCCATAGCCACTTCTCCCTGTGCTTCGCCGCCTGACAACTCGGATCTGTCGGTCATCCACATCTATGGCAAGTGTTCACCGTTCGACCCTCCCAAGCCTGAGTCGTGGCTCAATACGGTCCTTGACATGGCCTCGAAGGACCCGGAGCGGGTTGAGTACTTGTCGACCCTAGTAGCCCAAAAGACCACATCCGTACCTATTGCTCCGGGCCAGCAGACCATAAACATTGGCAACTATGTGGTCCAGGTCAAAATTGGCACCCCGAGCCAACTCATGTATATGGTCTTAGACACGAGCAACGATGAGGCATGGGTCCCGTGCAGCGGTTGCGCCGGCTGCTCCGCCACCACCTTCTCACCCAACACATCCTCCACTTACGGGTCGTTGGATTGCTCCGTGCCCCAGTGCACTCAGGTCCGCGGGTTCCAGTGCCCCACCGTCGGGTCCGGCGGGTGCTTCTTCAACCAATCCTACGGCGGAGACTCGTCCTTCTCGGCCACCCTCGTGAAGGACTCCCTCACTTTGGGTAAAGATGTCGTTCCGAATTATGCTTTCGGGTGCATCGGTGCGGTCTCCGGCGGGTCGATCCCGCCCCAAGGGTTGTTGGGTCTGGGCCGGGGCCCCTTGTCATTGTTGTCCCAAACCGGATCGCTCTACTCTGGCGTATTCTCTTATTGCCTACCCAGTTTCAAATCTTACTACTTCTCCGGCTCTCTCAAACTCGGCCCCGTGGGACAACCCAAGAGTATCCGGACCACTCCCCTCCTCCGTAACCCCCACCGTCCATCCCTCTACTACGTCAACCTCACGGGCATAAGCGTGGGCAGGGTCCTGGTGCCCGTGGACCCGAAATTCCTCGCCTTCGACCCCGATACCGGGGCCGGGACCATAATGGACTCGGGCACGGTCATAACGCGGTTCGTGGAGCCCCTGTACAACGCGACGCGGGATGAGTTCCGCAAGCAAGTGCAGGGCCCATTCTCGAGCCTGGGAGCTTTCGACACGTGCTTCACGGCCTCCAGCGGGGCGACGGCGCCAGTGATCACGTTCCACTTCCCGGATCTGGACCTGAAGCTGCCGCTGGAGAACAGCTTGATACACAGCAGCTCGGGCTCGCTAGCGTGCTTGGCGATGGCTGCGGCGCCGAACAACGTGAACTCGGTGCTGAATGTCATAGCCAATCTGCAGCAGCAGAACTTGAGGATCATGTACGACGTGACCAACTCTCGGATGGGGATTGCCCGTGAGCTCTGCAACTAGTTTGCTCGAGATGAGCTGAGTGTGACATATATTATCTTTCCCTACTTCTCTCTCTCTCTCTCTCTCCCCTTAGATGTGAAATTGCAACAGTGATTGCGCCCGTTGGAAAAACAAGGTGCTGCAGTTAGTAAGGCGTGGATGAATTTTGGTGTTGTTGGGTACGATGTTGTCTCGTGAATGGATCCAGTTTGTGTGGTTGAATGAGAAGCACTAAACTAGCGATTCGTGTCTTGAGTTTTAATTTGGCCTTTCAACCGAAACCATCTATAAATTTGACTACGCCTCAACACGCGTGTCCCTTGGACAATTTGCTGAATGAGAGGAGGACGCCGTTTCTATGGCCTTCGCTACTCTTTTCACTGATTAGCGATTACCGTGTGGTTATTAGCGCGCGATGCGTGGACCGGGTCGGTCCGTCGAGCTATACTTCAATTCTGTTCTCGAGATCGGCGTGCTCTTCGGTCCCGGGATTTTGGTAAACATACAAAACTGCGAATAATGTTAGTAAAAAACACATGAAACGACAAACGATCGATGCCCTCGACATACATAAGCCAAATAATGAATTGAACATCGGAAAAACATGTTTGTCAGGCCAAAACTCCCCCCCCCCCCCCCTTATCTTTGGATTTTGAAAGATGGCAAAAGTTGATGAGTAGAAGATCTTTTCAATATAATTATTTCTTAAAACTTGGCGTTTAGGCCTTGACCAGCCCGGAAAGAAGTGGATTATTTTGATTCGCCAGGCCTAGATTTCGGGCCTAGAAAGCTCTAGCTCGAAAAGTTTAGATTTGTTCTGGTGTGACAAAAATATCACTATCTACCACAAAAATAAAAAAATTTATCCACTGTGACACTAATATCCCAAACTTTTTTTTTCACTTATACTCCAAATTTTGTATCGGTGAGGCCAAAATACCCTCCGTCTACCACAAAAATTCCAAACGTTGCCTATTATGAAACCAACTCCCGGAGCTACTTTTTTTGGTGTCACAGGTACCCTCAAACTTCAGCCGGTGATCCAAAAATATCTTCGGTTACAATATCATCTAAGACAGCGATTTAAAATCCAACATGGAGGCTTGCGTGGACAACGGCTGGTAAATGGAGTTTACGTGAATATGATGTTTATTTAGCCTAATATCCAAAGAGAAGTCGTTTATCCATTTGCATGTTCGACACAGATATTGTTTATATGTGTTGGAATCCACTGGGAACTCATATTTCCAAGTAACGACTTGTCAGTGTTTAATTGTCTCAAAAAATCGGACCTCCATGATAACACGTTGTCCCTTTGGCAATTTTTTTAGAGTCCTTGAAGTGACATAATTCAAGAAAAGACATTGCTTTGGACTCGACAAAAGCCACGCCAAATCCACGTCAGTTTTGTTTGCTTGCCATTGTCAATGCAAGCCGCCATGTTGGATTCTCAACGACCGTCTTGGATGGAATTGTGATGGAGGATATTTTTGTCACACTAATACGAGTTTAAGGGTTTCGGTGACACAATAAAAAGTTTGAAATATTAGTGTCACTGTGAGCATAATATTGGGGTTTGGTGATACAAACAAATTAGGATATTGGGAAAAAGTGTCATAAAAGTCTTAAACCTATTGTATTTGTGCCAATTTAGTCCTAAAAAATTAGGATATTGGGTGAGTCTCGCCGCCCATGGGCGAGGCTAGAGCCCTCGCTAGAGGTCGCAGCCTTCAACCTTGCACCTCTAGCGAGGCTCGACCCTTGCCAGCCCAGCGTGAGGTCGCTTGTGGCTGGCGAGGCTCGACCTTGCCGGCCCTGGCCTTTGACTGGTCGCCGAGGTTTGGCGACTAGCTGGAGGAAGAAGAAAGGAAAGGAAAAAAAAGAAGAAAAGTAAAGAAAAAAGGAAAAAGAAATAAAAAAATCGAAAAATATTAAAATATTATTAAAAATTGTCCACATAAAGCGCCGGCCATGCCATGTAGGTTGGCCGGCGTTCACGCTAGCAAAAATTAGCCGGAATGATTGAATTGGCAGTAGGTCAAAAGGTTTAGAACCAATATGTTAAGTAAATTAGCCAAAATGATTGAATTGGCTGTACGGGGGATTACACACTTGAGAAGTATGTGGACTTATATGTTAAGTAAATAGTGCGGTTATAAGGAGTACCTATGACCATCACGTCAGACCGAGATCCAAGATTCGCTTTGAACTTCTGGAGGAGTCTCCAGGCGGCTCTAGGGACTAAGCTTCAGTATAGTACTGCGTTTCATCTTCAGACTGATGGACAGTCAGAACGGGTGATACAAATATTGGAAGATATGTTGCGAGCTTGTACCATTTACTTCAAGGGCAATTGGGATGAAAAACTGCATTTAGTGGAATTTGCATATAACAACAGTTTTCAGAAAAGTATCAGTATGGCCCCATTTGAAGCAGTATATGGAAGGGCCTGTAGAACTCCTGTCTGTTGGGATGAAGTTGGAGAACGGAAATTGATAGGACCAGAGTTAGTGCAAGCCACTACCGATGCAGTGAAGGTGATACGGAACAGACTAAGAACGGCTCAGAGTCGGCAAAAAAGCTATGCTAACCGACGTTGGAGGCCCTTAGAATTCAAAGTGGGTGATCACGTGTTCCTGAAAGTATCACCAATGAAATGTATATCAGGGTTTGGAAAGAAAGGAAAATTGAGTCCCAAGTTTGTAGGACCTTTTGAAATACTAGAGAGAATCGGAGAATTTGCGTATCGATTAGCACTGCCACCAAAACTATCCAGTGCACATAATGTTTTTCATGTGTCTATGTTGAGAAAGTACGAGCCTGATTCTACACACGTGTTAGATTTTGAGACTATAGATATCGACGACAAGGTAAAGTACATCGGGAAACCAGTGTAGATATTGGACCGAAGTGAACGGACTCTCAGGAACAAAATCATCCCCCTAGTTAAGGTGTTATGGCAACATCATGACACGGAAGAGGCTACGTGGGAAAGTGAAGAAGACATGAGACTTCAGTACCCACAATTGTTTGAAGGAACAAGTAAGGACCTAAATTTCGAGGACGAATTTTCATAAGGTGGGGAGAATTGTGACATTTAAAATTTCATTCGTCGATTCGTTTAACGAACGTACGTAACGGAACGTTACGTGGGAATTAGAATGATCGTTGACAAGCTACGGAAGCGTCGACTTCGGAAAGCTCGGATATCTTACACGTTTGTCACCCAACACCTCACCGCTTCATTCTCCTTCTTGCTGCTGGACGAGCTGGCTCCTTTCCCTCATGTTTTCCGCCATTTGGCAGAAGAAAACGCCATGTGGCGCGGTAGGATGGATGAAGTGGCAGCACACTCTCACGCCACTTAGCCCCCCATGCAAAGGGAGAAATACAATTCTTCATTCCTCACTCGGTTCTGCTCGGTTTTTCCCTCCCCCAGCTGACTTCCTCTCCACTGCTTTCCAAAGAACCAGCCTTACTTTGGCCAATCCGCCACCAAAAACAGCCGCATCTCGACCAATCTGCCCAGCCAAACAGCCACCACACCACCGCTGGAGTCGCCGCCTTGCCATTGCAGCTCCACCCGAGACGCTCGGCATTTCTTTCTTCTATCAGAACATCGCCGAACTTAGCTGACATCGAGGCAAGTGGAATTCTGCCTCCTTATTCTAGACTAGGAACTGCTTGCATGTCGGCTTTGTGAGTCTTGAGTTTGGATGGATGTCGTTAGGGTGTCGAATGGCTAGTCGTCACGTGAGTTGGCTGGTTGTTGTGTTTAATGACTAAATTGTGGCGTTGTCACCGTTCAAGTGTTGTAGAGTGATCGGTTGGGTGTGGTGGTGAAGCCGAGAGCTGGCCGTGAGCTCGGATGAGTCCGCGAGTTAGTCGGGTGGTCGGCCGCAAACTTGGGTACAAATTTGGTGGTTTTCCATTCGGACTCAATTCTTTGAACTTTGTTCTTGAAACCCAGAAATGTAGCTACTGGACCTCTTCTTCTTTCCATTTTTATGGAGATTTTTGTGAACCGAATTTTAAGAAACTTTCTTGATAAAAGTTTCTCCCAACATCTTGACATATAACGTAATTTAAATTCATATTTTTCTCAGCTGATTTGGTTTGTAAGAAAGACCATTTTGTAAACGGGTTTGAACTGTCCAGTGTTGCTGTTTTTGTGACCTTTACACCTTCTCGATTTTCCATAAGTTTTTCCTAGAATGATTCTTAACAAAGTTCCTTCACAAAAGTTGTTGGGAAATTCTTTCTCTATAACATATATAAATTTGGTAATTTTTAGAGGTGATTTGTGTTTTGAAAAGAGCTTACTTTGAGAAGTAAGGATTTTGTTCTAGCGAATTGTTTTTAGTCTGTCTTTGAGCTACTAAAAGTTGTGTTTACATAAAAATTCAGATTTCATGTTCTTCATGGGAAATTGTTGTTAAGGTCTTGTTTATGACATATTCAAATTTTAGAATTTTCAGAGTCCATTCACTATGTTTTTAAATCTGATTTCTTGAACAGTGCAAAACTGCCCAGTTTTGCCAGATTGCAAAGATTCATCATTTTCTATATGAGAAAGTTGGAATTTCAATTTGATGTCTTTTGGAGACAAAATCGATACATTCTGAGGTTTTCAATGAGATGATTATGCATGTGGACTTGCTTGCTGGGTTATTGAATACCGTCGGTTGATTGACTGATGTTGCCCCGAGGAGCCGACTGGGAAAGTGGGATGCCTGGTTGTGGGAACCAGATGCCTAGGAGGTTTCTGCCCTAGATGCCCCAGAAATGTGATCGGGATGCCTTGGTCAATGGATCACGAAGCCTGCGCGGGCCGATGAAAATTTGGGCGTACACCTCGGCAAATTGGAGTGCGTACCGAATCCTGCCAGACGGGAGTGTTCCTCCTTACATGACCGGCAAGCGCTCCGGGCATGTGACTTGGAGTGAGGAAATGATACCCATGCAAGTGTTGAATTGTGTACGCATGTTTGAATTATGCTATTATCGTTATGGTCAATGTTAGACTATCATCTTTGGAATGGTTACTAGAGTGCATGTAACAAGGTACAGTTGTCTCGTCTAGGATGTCCAAGGAAGTTACTTGTCGTGTGTATGCCGGATGATATGCATGTGGTTGTTCGTTTGATATAGGGTGATAGATATTCTCTTGTTGAGCTATTGCTCACTCCTGTGGTGATTGAAATTTTACAGATTAGTGAGTATGCCGATCCTCCCTGCTTCTACTTCTATTAGCTATGGAGC